CCACCTGACTGCTTTCCCTGTTCAGATAAAGCCTCAGTACGGAGTATGGGGGGTGGCAGTTTATTGTGCTTGTTGATGGTCTGCAGGCCTGAGAGCCATGACCCGAGCTCTCGTCACATCTTACGAGGATTCTGGTGTCGTTAAGTCACGTGAGCTGCAATTTTGTGCGCATGTGTTCGTGTGAATGTTGCGAACTACTAATGTTGCGTAACCTGTGCATGTGTGGTCCTTATTTGTGGTTATCTCCGAGGATGCATTCAACTTAGCGCCCGAAAATTCGGGCCAGTTAACTTTGTGTGGTAGCGATCACATCTTCTACTACGGATTAGTAGTGCTACCTACAGACGCTGGTTATGCAGAAGCAAACGGTTGGAGTGCACTCCAAGCCCCGAGTACTCACGATTATCTAATTGAAAACGCTTGGGGTTTCGTCCGAACTTCGTCATGAAACCATATAGGTTTTGGGTGTGCTTTCTATTAGATGAACATGTCGATCTCCTGCCTTGGTAAACGGATTAGAGGACATTTTAATAACAGCTGGTGAGGGATGAATGTAGTACGGAAAATAGCCACGGGTACACATTTATACGTAGAGGCTCAGTCTCTTGATATGCGTGTTTGTCAAAGTATACGTGTACTTACAACCGTGTTGGGAGTCAAACAATGCAAAACAAACTAACTGAAAAAAATCAAAAGATGCAGAATATACGTTTATTGTTAACTTGCCGAGATCCGCCCGCTCGAACTGAACGGGATCCGAATGCGGAAGAGCCAGGCCAGTTTCTCCAACGATGGCCGACTTGATTGCAGACCTTGGTAGCACCACAGTCGTTTGCAGATAAGTTTGCATTGCCTGAATGAGGACATTGGCATTGGGGGCCGCATACGCTGTCATGCGAAACGCCTAAACAATGAGGTTTGAGAGGGACAACTTAAAATACCCTTGAGTTATCAGCAGAGATTTTTATCGCGAATTTGTCTTTTATACTTTAGACTAATTACCTATCCCGACCCACTTGTTTTTTGTGCGGTCTGCGCGCCTATTTTTCTCTTTTGAGGAATTTGCCGCAGCCATAAATTGCAGGACAGTCGAGGCCAAAAAATATGAAAGCTACAAGGAGTTCTGTGCAAGGTGACACAAGACACATTCTCGAGCCTCGAAGACGCAGTTGAAACTTATGGTGTTAATACTCTCCCGATCTAAACCAACAAGCAAAAATTTTCATGGTGCAGTTGTTAGGTCACGATTTCAAACCTCGCGGTTGGGGTTGAGTATGACTGGCAGAAGGCAGTTAGTGTGCCAGAAATGGCACAATTCTATCTATTACACTATAGGCCTCCTGGACTGCCATTACAACAAAGACCAGAACACAATATAACTACGAGTCATTGCGTAAGTAAAGGACAG